GCTAACCCTAAACCTAACCCTAAACCTAACCCCCCCAAAGCTAACCCTAAACCTAACCCTAAACCTAACCCTTACCTTAAGTTGAATCGGCTTTCTTTTAAAGCGCCATTTAAAACGCCCCTCTTTCTCCGCGCTGGCTGTTGTTGCCCTGTTGATGACATCAGCGATGCGGTTTAATCGGGTGTGGCTTAGTCGAGCGCGGTTTTGACGGGTCACGAACAACTTACAGATTTCTGGTTTCTAGTCTGATATATTATCCACTGGACCAAACTAACTTTCATTAGAGGGAATTCAACTATTGCTCTGAAGACTGCGCTAACAAATGATGCCTATGGAACATTTTATTGCTTTTATTGTTTTCATACACAGAAGAAACCATATATATTATTGGCAATTGAAAAGTTTTTGCCAGATCATTGTTCTGCAATGGCAGACCTGGTTTATATATTATACTAAACAATATTTTTCTAGCCAGGACATCAGAGCTGCTGGGCTGGCTGTAATATATCTGAGGAGGATAGTAATCTTACAGTTGAAAGTTTGGTTGTTTTTTATTGGGAGATTGGGTATTATAGGTATAAAAGTAAGCCTCAAAAGTTTAATATATATTGATGGTGTGCTCTATGGAGTTGATAAGCTGATTTATAGACTTGGGTTTATACAACACATGAAACATATTTCTTATACTACAGAGGCTGATTGTAGAAGCTGCTAAGCCAAAGGAAACAAACATTATGGCCTAGACTTGTTTCTGATCTATTTTATAGCTGTAGCCATGTTTCTTTTTATATAATAGCTTTTCCTTATCGAACATTAAGATAATACAAAGTTTAAACAACAGCATTTCATTGTTTCTTTTGTTTTCCAGCCAAAAGCCTTACTCCAAGTGAGATGAAGATTTTGTCAGAGGAGCTCAACAAGCAGAAAGTAAAATTCTTGGAAAAGTTAAAACAAAAGACTAATAAAAATCAGTTTTATGTAGAAGATAGTACATTCAATATAACTTCTGTATTTTCCCAAGAGACAGATGATATTGTTAAAAAGTATTTCAATAAACAGTAGCATTTTATTTTGCTTCATGAAGTGTTATCAATGGTGTTGGTGCAAATTTAACAAGAATAAAGCTAGCTGTAATAGATAAAGCTTCCCTGTGTAATTTTATTAGTTAACTTTAGTTCCGAATGGTAGAATGTATTATTCAATCTTAAGGTTATTATTTCCTGCTTGAAGATGTTTAATTGACACTATTTTTTTCTGCCAACTTTCTGTTTTAGTTGCCTATAATTATGGCTCTTGTCGTCTCCTTCTAAGCTGCTCGTAAAAGCCAGGCAAGCTGGCTGAAAGATCCCCATGCCTTGCTAAATAAAAGCAATAAAAGTGTTAGGATAACTTTTAACAGGTGTCTACACCAATTTGTTCACAATGCGTAATGGATTTCAACTGATCAGAAAAAAACAAGATTATTAGACACGCTTAATACCTGCAGGTAAGTTCACTTGANAGTAGCCTGCAGTGCTGCACTCTAACCACTGCGCCACCTTGGCTCTTGAGTTTTAAATGACCGGTTTTCATAACCCATATTTTTTTTATTTTCTAGATTTGTTGGGCTTCTGTCAATTGTTTCTAGACAGCAACGTTGAAGTTTGTTTACAGAGGAATTCTCAGAGAGAGAGGCCATTACCTGAGGAAACAATATTTGCAATGGCACAAAAGCTGGAATGTCCAAATCCCCAAAAATACACGTGGGAGCAAAATAGCCTTATTCTGAAAAGTGCTGAATGTTCATTAGAAGATAAGTATGTGATCTCATTGAAACTATTATTTATATTCTTTTTGTAATAATCTCTGGACACTCTGTAGGATTCTTGCCTCAGAGGAAAGAAACTTGTGACCCCAGGAAAACCTCCTAGTTTTTACTAGGAAACCTAGTAAAAGTCGATTTTGGAAGATATGGGGGAGGGAGAAGGCTTCTACTTGTAGAGAAACTCATATTCATTTGTACTGTATTGCAGTTTATACCCTGAATTTCTTCAGGGTTTAGATTTTTAGATGGATGTTACTGATCCCATTGACATTAGACATTACCCTTGAGCAAAGTGCTAGACATTCGTATGCGTGCATTTGCAATTTAATTTTATATATATATTTTCCAGTCTACAGGTGTTTAATTTGTTATCTTCTGCTTTGGAAAATCCAGTAAAACCCATAGAAGAGCATACAGAAGAAAAGGTACCTTGAATTCTGTAGGTTGACAAGTTCGAGAGATTTGCTATACGTAGGAAGCCCTTGATGGGGATAAAATATTTAGCCCCTGCCATTATGGATAAAAATAAAACAAGAGAGCTGGAAAGCTATCCATTGTTTTATACCAGGAATGTCCAGTTTTTTTCCTAAAATGGAGGATTGCCATTTTTATTTATTACATTTATATGCTACCCATCTCACTATCAAGTGACCCTGTGCAACATCATAAAAGGATAATATAAAACAATGAGAACATTAAATACATTAGAAGCATTCAGCATTAAAATTAACATATTAAAATGATCAAAAGACTGTATTAAAGGGAGCAACACACAATTGGTCTTTGACACTTCAGAAGCCGGCGAAATGGGATATATGCAGAACCCAGAATCATTTTAATTACTGTATATTGTATCTAATCCATCCTTGTGTCTGTGTGTCACATGTTTGTTCAACTAATAGAGAGACTTTTGAGGCCACACACTTTGGAGGCAACAACTGAACATTCTGTGGAAGCCAAACATTATATATAAAAAAATATAAATCTAATTTACTGTTCAATTTCTGCTTTCCAAAAGCTGAATTGAAGAAAAAAAATGATTACAACTCAGAAGGCTTTTAGTACACCTCACCTTATTTCTTAAGATTGTTTTCTATTTTTAAAGTTCCTAAGACAAAAATGTATTTTTTTTTTCCAAATTGTCTACTGGGCTTTTTTATAAAATGCATCACCAGTTTCACAATCTTAAATGTTGATCTTTGGCTTAAAGATAGTGAATCCTGAAAATATAAAAGTAAATCCTACTTAGTAGTACTAATGTTGGTGTGAGGGTTAAATGAAAAATAATGCCTCCAATTTTTATAAGCTGCGAACAGATGGCAGTAATGATGCACTAGTTCAGATGTGTTCTTTAATGTTCCTTCGATTCAATTGATGGAAAGCTGCTGTGAGAAAAGATTGAATTATGTAATTGTCTGTGGGAATAACCTTGGGAAACAAAAGGAAGTGCCATAATCTAGACCAGGGGTAGTCAACCTTTTTATACCTACCGCCCACTTTTGTATCTCTGTTAGTAGTAAAATTTTCTAACCGCCCACCGAAAAAAAGCCGATATGAGGAGAGGATAATGGGGGATGATCTTGTTTA